AAATATACCGGACAACGATAATTCCCTTGGTTTGAAATATACCACATTTTTCTCTTACGCAGTGCGTGTACGCAGCAGAGCCGTATTTTAGTAATTTACGAGGGCCGTATGTTAGTTCCTCGCTCTAAAACGCACACTTTCTACATATCCTTCCTTTCTTATGCACATGCACATGACATTGGGTTCAATTTTCAAAAGGATTCGGTTTTTATGAGTCCCCTGACTCATTCTATTCTCATGCCGCCTCCCTTGAATACCCATTTTTGGTATGTATCTTGGATCCAAATTTTTAGAGATACATATCTACACTCTAAATTTCATGAATAAAATACAATAAAAATTTTAAACCCTTTTTTTAGCAAAAACTTTCTTATTTATTAGATAGGAATATTTAGTTGTGGAGATCCATCTCAAAGATAGACGGTTGTAAGTCTGCGGTTTGTAAGTCCGCTGACTCACAAAACACTTCTCCATTTCAAATCGCTATGGCCAGTATTTTACAATTTTTTCCACATATACTCCATTGGGAGCATAATTAACTTTTAATCTTAGAAGACGTATTTGGGAGGATTTTTTTCAATTTGAAATTTTAAAAACCTCCTAATAATCATTAGATGATTATTATCTTTTTTTCAATTTGAAGCTATCAATCACTAGATGATTATTCTTAAAAAAAAAAAGACTAAAATTTGAGTATTTAACATTTATATCTTACCATCTAAAATTTAGAAGGTTTCTATTCATTCTTGAGAAATTATTTTTTTCACGGGCATAAATGGTTAGGAAAATTATTTTTTTGAGGTTTTTAATTTATGGGTTGAAGAGGTTACATTCCAAAAATTTAGAATCGTAAATTTATTTCGAGGTGGGGTTTTTACCTAAGGAAGTACAGTATACTCTGAGGGGAGTATAATATCTTTTGGCTTATATTTTTTTTTCCCAACCCAAAAGGACGTACCTAGGCGGCCTTTTTGGCTCCGTGCTTACCAACCAAATACGCAACAACCACAAATCCATGTATATGCATATGGGATGTATGCCTAGGGGCAACGCTTTCCATGTTGGAAAACTTTATATAAGGTTGCAGCCTTAAAACGTATAATTAAAGATGCACCTAAAAACTTCACAAAAAAGCTTGTTTTAATGTTGAAAAACTTTTTAATTGATCATTTTGACATCAAGATGTATGAATATGAAAAAAAAAAAAATTTTTGAGTCCAATAGATAATGCATCTTGCAACACATTATCTAGACCGTCCATTTTCAATATTTTCACTATTATTGGAGTTTAAAATTTTATAAGTAGATATGAAAATCGGTGTTTAGATATTCCTAAAAACAATTTATACCAAATTTGCATGTTGTGATAAAATTTGGAGGTGGATTTTTTAATGTTGCAACCTTATAAAAACCACACCCTTCTATGTTTCCCCTACTACATGGAATTTATATACTTCCCCCAATCTAACCGTCCATTCTGAAATGAGGTTGAGATGACCCAATTCTTTTACATAACCAAAAAAGTTAATCTGACTCAGAAGGAATCGTATGGTTTTGTTAGACATCCGGGTCGTTCTGTTTGTAGAGAGTTGATTCAATTCTACCAATTCTTATTATTAGTTAAATTTTAATCTATGTAGGAATCACCCATCCAAATCGAGAAAAAGGGCCAAATCAAAACCTGATTCGAGATTTTAAAACATATCTCAAAGAAAATCGGTCTTCCCTAAAGTGTATAAGTATTATTGTTTTACACATGGTAGGCATGTGGAAGCAATTGTCTATGCTAAAGATGGACAGAGAGAAGGCGTTTCCATTGATGCATGCATGCATGCATGTGTGTCATGTGAATGCATGGATAGAATTTGAAAGAGAGTTGAGACTCGTGTTTTGCATCTAACCATCAAACACCCATAATGTGGACCTGACCCCATTCCCACCTAACCCTTTCTCTCTCTCTTCCCTCTATATACTACTTCAATGTTTCTATTGCTCTCTGCATTGCAGTAGTTCCCAAGATAGGAAAACCCTCTCTCTCTCCTCCACCTTCATCCCTATCCACCATTAATGTAGTATCTCTCTCTGTTAATCGTCCATTATTTTTTCTTTATCAGGTTAGCACGATAAAGCCCTAATTAATTAACTTCTATTTTTCAAGATTTGTTCATATTTTATTTCTTTAGTTAAGGGGTTCTCGTTTTTCCATTGTCTTTGCTCTGTATATGTGTGGTGATTGTATTATTTCTTTGAGAGGAAGAAACCAGAGTTGAAACCACCAATTTTCCATGAAAGCAGTAAGTTTTAGGCGCCCAAATCCCTAGTTCTTTCAGCACTGAAGGGAATAAGCTCCAATCTCTGTTCTGAGCTTCTTCTGCTTAAACCTTTTACCATAATTTCAGAGATAAAGTTTTTTTACTAGAAAAGGAAAGAAAATCCAGTTTTTAGCCATTGAAGAAGCTCTCTCATCCCTTCTGTGGTGGTGGAAAGTTTTGGGATCCAGTCTTAGTTGAACTACTCAATCTTCAGTTCCTGGTAAGAGATCTCTAAAATTCATACCCTTGTTCATCCCAAAATCTCTCATCAAAGTATATTTTGTAGAATCCAACTCCAGTTCTTCACCTAGAGAAAGAAGTCATTTCTTTTTTGGTGTTATTCTCTTCTCAAACACACACTCTCTCTCTCTCTCTCTCGAACACACGAAAATATCCCCCCTTCTCTGGTCAAATTTCCTTGCATTTCTGCAGAGTTTTTCCTGATATTTTTAGCTCCTGTGGGAACACTTAAATTACTTTCCCCACTTGGGAGAGATAACGTGGTCGTGATGGATCTAATTGTACATTTGGATCTGCGTTTTATTTTTTTTCCTCATTAATCATTATTTGGGGTGGGCTATAGGATCGTATGTCATTCTGCTCTTCTTTTTTTTTTAATCAATTTTAATATATATAAAATATATCATTTTATATTATTATTATTATGTTATATTATATATTATATAATATTGTATATAATTTATAATATATTATGAAGGGAAGAGTTTATATAGTGCTGAGGCTATAAACAAAACAATCAAATTAGAACCTGCCTCAAAAATTTCACTAGAAGATGTTGTTTTGATCCTCAAATATCTTCAAATTGATCATCTTGACACTAAAATGCATGAACATGAGAAAAAAATGAATTTCAAGTTTTGAAAATAGTGTATTTTGAAGATGTTGTTTTGATCCTCAAATATCTTCAAATTGATCATCTCGACTTCAAAATGCATGGACATGAGAAAAAAATGAATTTCAAGTTTTGGAAATAGTGTATTTTGTAAAGCATTTTTGAATCATCAATTTTCAAAGATAAATCGATTTTTGAAGCTTTAAACTTTAAATAAAGATGAAAATATATTTTAGGGAAAAGTTCATATAGAGCCGAGGCTCTAAACGATCACATTCGAGCTTCCCTAAAAAATTTCATTGGACGAGATTGTTTTGATGTCCAAAAATCCTCAAATTGATCATCTCGACATCAAGATGCATGGACATGAGAAAAAAAATTGATTTCAAGATTTGGAAATAATGTATTTTGTAATGCATTTTTTTACCGTCAATTTTCATGATTTTCAAGTTTTCATAGATTTGTCGATTTGCAACATTTTTTAAGTTTAAAATTTTATAAATAAAGATGAAAAAATATTTTAAGGCTATCACAGAGATTTCCAGTGTTGGAATCACATTTCTCGATACTATTTAAAGGTAGGCTCTAATTTGATTGTTTAGAGGCTCGGCTCTATACAAACCACACCCTATATTTTAAGGCTAATATAAAGATTTTTCAGTATTGAAACCACATTTCTTGAAGGTAGGCTGTTCTTTAAAGCCTAAGCTCTATGCAAACTACACCTTATAATTAATATAGGATACCTTATAATTAATATAGGATTGTATACAATGAGGTCGTTTATCTTTAGTACAATGAGGTCACAATTACTTACAACCATTCGATATGAAATCTGACAGTTTGGGTGTGTCACAAAGTTGTTTTTGAATATTGAGCTTGGTCAATTAAATAAATGTAATCACCTAATTTCACATTCAAAATTAATTGTTACCGCCTTGTACCATAGGTAAATAATCCCATTATATACTTTCCCCATTAATACATATTTATATTATATTATGGAGCTCAAAGAGATGCTCTAAAGTTACTACATAGTTTGGAGTCCAAACTATGGACTATGAGATATTGGGTTTTTAGTTTTGAGATTTGAAAGATCAAAATTATTTTTTATGGTTTATTGGAAGTATTAAATAAAAGTAAATTTAAAAAGTTCGTGTCAAAAAGGATTGACAAGATTTTCCCTATGGGATGACATGCACAATTTGGTCGCGCCGGAGCACGCATATCTTTTATTATTAAAAGTAATTCATCATTATGTTTATTAAAATGATTTCCACTTTGTGTGCAGGCACAATGATCAAGGTAGCGGCGCGTGATTCGCCTGCACCACCTATGCCGCACGAAAACCGGCATGAACCGGCCCAAACCGGCCACATTTTTCGGTCCAAACTCCCGGACATTCCCATTCCTGCTTCTCTCCCATTGACAAAATACATTTTCCAGAACCTTGCAGATCACTCGGACCGCCCCTGCCTAATAACGGTAACCGGACAACGGCTCTCGTATTTGGAATTCCACACTTGTTGCAAGGAAACCGCTTCTGGTTTGTTCAAATTAGGCATAAGAAGAGGCGATATTATCATGCTTTTGCTTCATAATTCGCCGGAATTTGTCATCTCTTTTATTGGGGCCGCCATGATCGGAGCTGTGTCCACTACTTGCAATCCATTCTTCACTCCAGGTGAGGTTTCTAAGCAGATTAAGGCTTGTAATCCAAAGATTGTGATCACTCTGTCTCAGTATGTTGTAAAACTCAAAGACCATTGTCCTGGCAATGGTGTAGCCGGAAAATTGACCGAAAGATCATTTTCTGGCGAGTCCAAGACCCAAGAAAGTGAATTAGGATCAGCTGAAAAGCACATCAACCAATCCCAACTCAGCAGAAAACCACTCTCCAGTGAATTGGAGAACCAAAGGCCTGATTCCCAACTCGCCGATAAACCACCCGTCCTTGAGATTTCTTGGGATGAACTCCCTGTAAAACCTCAAATTCAGGCCACCCACATTCGCGTAATCACAGTCGACGACCCACCGGAAGGTTGCCTCCACTTCTCGGTGCTGTCGGACTCCGGCGAATCCGACCCACCCGAAATTACCATTGATCCCGAAGATCCAATCGCTCTCCCCTTCTCTTCCGGCACAACAGGTTTACCGAAGGGAGTAGTCTTAACTCACAAAACCATCGTCTCAAGCATAGCTCAACAAGTGGATGGCGAAAACCCGAACTTATACATACATTCACAGGACGTTGTGTTGTGTGTTTTGCCGTTATTTCACATTTATTCATTGAACAGTGTTCTGCTGTGCTCACTGAGAGTGGGGGCGGAAGTGGTGTTGATGCCCAAGTTTGAGATAGGGACGATGCTGGAAGTGGTGGAGAAGTACAGGGTAAGTGTGGCTCCTGTGGTGCCGCCATTGGTGTTGGCTTTGGCAAAGAATGGGGCGGTGGAGAAGTTCGATTTGAGGTCGATAAGAATTGTGCTGTCGGGGGCGGCGCCGCTCGGGAAGGACCTGCAGGAGGCGCTCAGGACCAGGGTGCCGCAGGCAGTGTTCGGGCAGGTAGCCTGCCCTCTCTCTCTCTCTAGTATTTTCTCTCTACTAAACTCTTGTTTTTCCTCCTCTAGTACTTTCTCTTCTTAGAACACATCTCTCTCTCTCTCTCTCTCTAGATTTTTCTCTCTCTAGATTTTTTCTCTACTACTTCTCTCTCTCTAAACTACTTCTTTCTCTCTGTAGTTTTTTTTTTTTTTTTTTTTTTTTGAGGGCGGTGGTTTGAGTGTCCCTCTAGGACTTTCTCTTGAGCCTCTCCTCCCCACGTGTGCATCTCTCGTATGACTTAATTTGTCGCAGTCATGCAGTTGGGCATTAGATCCGAAATCACGAAAATACCCTTGCATTGCTCCTTTTATACATTTTATCCCGATATTGTCAGGGTGCGTCTTCACCGTATCGGTGAGGGACTTGACTTGTTCCAACTCGTTCGGCCGAATTAAAAAACATTTAAAATATATATAATATATTTAAAAAATGCGATCTAATTTTGTTTGTCAAGTTCGAAAATAGTGGGTAAAATTTAATTGAACACTTCTTTTGATTGATTTTTAATTAATTATAATTTTTATTTTTAAAATATACAAGGCTGAATTAATCATCCTACCCATCAAATCACCAATTCAATAAATCAATAGATCAATGTAGTGGTCATACCTTTACTTAAAAATTTGTTTCTTAAACATTATTAAAATGCCCTTATAGATGAAAGGGAGAGGGCCCATACGAACATGGCAATTTTTGGATGAAGGGGAGCGGGCCCATACCAACACAGCAATGTATCAACCAATACCAATTAACTCCGGGCCGTTTTCCTGTTAACCAATTAACTCCGGTCCGGGCTCTTATCCTATTGCCCTTATAAATTAGGCATGCAAGATCGGCCTGGAGTCAAATTACTAAAATGCCTTCATGCGTTGGAAAAAATGTGCAGGGCTATGGCATGACAGAGGCGGGGCCAGTTTTGTCTATGTGCCTGGCATTTGCAAAGAAGCCCTTCCCCTCCAAGCCTGGGTCTTGTGGCACCGTTGTGAGGAACTCGGAGCTGAAGGTCATAGACACCGAGTCTGGCGCCTCTCTCTCTTACAATCAACCGGGCGAGATTTGCATCCGTGGTCCACAAGTCATGAAAGGTAATAGCCCACTCCAGTAGGGTCACATATAGTACACTGACTCCCTCTGTAAAAGCACAAATTTTCTTTTTTTTTAATGTTAACTCGGGCAAAATAGTGGTGGGGTCCGGGTCTGGCTTGCCGTATGGAACCCCATATGGAAACATTTATGGGCCACCATTGGACCCTACCTAAAAATAAAAAATATATTTAAAGCTTGGGTCTAATTGGGGTTTATGTGGACCAAGACCCGGATCCAACCTATCAGGTCTAGCTTTTAAACTCATACCTAAACCCATGTCGGGTACACTCATCGGGTCTAGCTTTTAAACTCATACCTATACCCATGTCGGGTACACTCATCAAGTCTTGTTGCGTCCCAAGTCGGGGTCCAGGTCCATTGCACCCCTTTAGGGAAAAGCACATACTTAAGGACTTTCTCCATTTGAAATTTTGTGACGCACCTTAAGATCACGATGAGTTTTTTTTCTTTTTTTGAAAGATTTTAATTTCATCAACACTTAAAGCCCAATAGAATATTCCAATAGGTAGTCTCCTTTCATCTTGAAATATTATTTTTTGGAAAAAGTACAAAAGTGCAAATGATTTTCTCTTTTCTTTCTAAAGTTTGTTGCGGAATTGATTGAGGGGGGGAAAATGCTTAAGGGAGTGAATATAAGGGATGCTCCCGCGGGAGCATCTAACCTTCTAAACCTTGAGAACTTCGTTAAGCTTGCTTAACTCTAAGGATCTTTCAAAATATTGAAAATTGATCAACCAACTTTGTAGGCATGCATTAGTGTGTTGTCGGTCATTTGTTGAGCGTATTTTGGCGTTTAGGTTTAAAGGGATGGGCATCACCAATGATCTTAATGACTGATTGTAAAACTCAAGGTTTAAGTTTGTGTTCGTACACGGAAAACTACATCGTGATGGTGAGATCACCACTTTCTAATTGTACAAATATGCAGTGCGTGTAATCCCAATAAATATATATACATATATATGGAAGAATATACAATAATATTGTTTATTTTTAATACAAGGAGGTTATAATTATCCATGGTTGGATGTGAAATCGGTTGGTTGTAGGCATGTAATTGACCGGATTCAAAGCCACTATACAACACTTACGGGTGAAAATGAACAATGTTTTCACCCATAGGCTTGGCGGCGTCAGATTTTTTTGGACGGCATGGATCATAACACTGTTACAGACATAGCATGTCCATGATGGTATTTTTTTGCACAAAGAAACACGAGCAACCGCCACTCCCGTAGATCCGTGACGTTTTTTAAGGTAAAACGCCACAGATATAGCATGTCCGGGCGAAACACTATTCAATTTATATATATATATATATATATAAGAAAACTCTTAAAAACGTCTATAGGCGAAATTGAATAGTATTTTGCCCTATCACTAATATACGGGAGTTGTGGCAGTTGCCTGAATTTTCTTTTTGCATGAAAGACATGTTACATCCGTGGCGATCTTGAATCCACACCATATGAAAAAATCGGATGGCGCCAAGGCTAGGTTGTTCCAACAAAATGGAGTTACCTCGTCCATAGAGCTCTATAGTATATGTGTGTACTCTATACACAGAGGGGCTCAAGTCCTGAAAGATATAAGACTAAAGTGAAAGTAGCATGACATGAGGTTGACGTTTTGATATTGGGTTTGATGCGAGTGAGTGTAGGATATTTGAATGATTCGGAGGCTACGGCCGCAACCATCGATAGTGAAGGGTGGCTTCACACAGGCGACATTGGGTATGTGGATGAGGAGGAGGAAGTGTTCATAGTAGATAGAGTGAAGGAACTCATCAAGTACAAGGGCTTCCAGGCAACCTCTCTTACTCTCTGCCAAACCTTGCTCTTCTTTTTTTTTTTCGACCTCATTTTCATCCTACAGATCAACGCTTTTCTCTTTCAGTTTTTTTTTTTGGGTGAATGTTTCTGATTTTTAGAGAGTAGAGGACAGTGTGAGACCATAAGTCTCTGTCTCTTCAATAAAGGATTAGGTATTATTTTCTAATCTTCACATGGATTGTGATGGACCAACTCATAAATATAAGCCTTTAATGTGGATCTTAAATGAGATAGTAGGTAGATTATTAAAAGGGAAACTTATTCATTTTTACCTATAAGAGATTAACAATTTAATACCTTACCTATATATTTTGATTTAATTTTTAAAAAACTCATAAAAAAGCACGTCATCTTGACTTAGAATAGTTGCCCATGGGTACAATGTTAAATAGTTAATCTCTTAATGAGTATTTTGAGGAATTTCCCCATTTACTAAAGGAAAAAGTTTGTTTATATGAGGTTCAAACCTTACAATGTAGGAGTAAGGTGCACATCTAAAATCTTTTTAAAAAGGTTGTTTTGACGTTGGAAAAACAAAGAAAAAATGAGATTTCAAATACAAACAATAATAAAGCTTGCAACACATTGTTTGAACCGTTTATTTTCAATATTTTGATCTATTTATAGATCTACTTGATTTGAATCATTTTTGGTGTTTAAAATTTTATAATTAGATATAAAAATAGATTATTGCACCATCTTAGTAATTTTCGAGACCAAAATTGTATCTTATGATAAATTTTGGAGGTGCACCTTAATTTGATGGTTTAAGGTTGCAACCTTATGCAAACCACACCTTTTATTAAAGGGAAACGTTTATATAAAGTTGCAGCCTTAAAAATGTAGAACTACGGATACACCTCAAAAATCCATCAGTAAAGGTTGTTTTAATGTTGAAAAACCCTCTAATTGATCATCTCGACATTGAGACGCATGACCATGAAAAAAAAAGGATTTCGAGTCTCATAAATGGTGCATCTTACAACGCATTATCTAGACTGTCCATTTTCAAGAGTTAAATATGTTTGTAGATCTATTTGATTTCAATCATTTCTGGAGTTTAAAATTTCATAATTAGATTTGAAAATAGATTTTGAGATAATCCTAAGAATATTTTACATCACAATTATATGTTATGATAAAATTTGAAGGTGCACCTTAAATGGATTGTTTAAGGTTGCAACCTTATGGAAACCGCATCCTTCATTAAAAGATGTAATGAAACAAAATCATTTTGAATAAATAAACAAAAAATGGTGGTGAATCTGATGAGCTTAACAAAATGATCAATTACTATTATCATTTTCTTTTAATGGTATTTCCGGGGGAGAAGGTGGCCCTAAACCTTGGACATGATCACTAAACCTTGAAAGGGTCCTAAGACTCCTAACTGCGAACTTATTTATATTTATTTTTAGTAACGGTTTCATTCAAGTAGAAAATGTCCCAATCTTTTTGCCTCCGATGAATCAATATTACCAACCATATAGCTAAAACATAAGAAAAATGAATGTATAAAATTATGGGTTTCTTTCTACTAAAACAATCTTAGATTTCGCTCAAAAAAAGGAAAAGGAAAAACTTAGATTTGTTTATGAGTGTTATTATGAAAGTTAAAATATGATTATATTGTAATTGAAGTTTATCTAATGTATAAACCATGATGGTTGATCTCTACCACCTCTTGAGGCAATCCTAAACAAATCCTAACCAAGATAACCAATTCTAAAAAGGGTATGAGGATGCTCAAGCAGTTTGATTTTCATGGACTCTTATATCATAAGGCTTCAATAAAACGACGACTTTATTGTTGTTGTTATTATTATTAGTAGGTTTTACACTTTTTTGTTAATATTTTTGCAGGTGCCTCCTGCAGAAATTGAGGCCCTCCTTCTCAGCCATCCATCAATCGCTGATGCCGCCGTTGTGCCGTAAGCATTTTGGAAAGCTTCACTTATATGATCCGTGCAATTAATAATAATAACACAACAATAATATTTAAAAAAGAAACTTGATCCGTGCAATTAATAATAATAACACAACAATAATATTCAAAAAAGAAACCAAAAAGAAATAAAAAATACTCCACGTGCTTCAGAAGCTCCAATAAATAACAAAGATGAACAACATTTCAATTTGACAAGATTATTAGATGTGTCGTGTTCGATAGGCAAATAACTAAGGACATGGTTTCTATGAGTCCCCGGACTCATATGTAGAAATGTTGACTCTATTAATAATCCATTTTTGAAATGGGTTTTGGCCCTAACTTTTAAGGAGTATGAAAATAAATAAATTTAAAAAAATGAAATAACAGGAAATATTTGAACCATTAGTTTTAATTTTTTTTTGGAGGGACCACCATTTACATCCATCTTTGGGATGGACGTTTATGCCTCAGAGGACCAAACTCTCCTTCAATTGAAGGGCTAGTTGTTTCATCACGATGGACTTCAGTTTCAAGGATCAAATAAATTTATGGACTTCACTTTCAGTTTTTCTTGGCCGTTTTGAAGTGTCTAACTCTTAGGGGACATCGGTTCCACCTTACTTATGGTTTGGGAGGATTTTGGTGATTAATTTATGGAAAAGTGTAGCACCACCCCGTACAAAAAGCTAACTCCTACTCTAATGGATCATCACGATGTATGAATATTAAAATAAATAAATAAATAAATAAATTTAATTGAACCTCAAAAATAGTGCATGTTGCAACACATTATCTAGACTATTTATTTTCAAGATTTTCATATGTTTATAGATCCATTTGGTTTTAACTATTTTTGAAGTTTAAAATTTTATAAAAAAAAAGAAAAGAAAAAGATATTAAGTCTTAAAAATAGTTCATCTTGCTACACATTATCTAGACCATCCATTTTCAAGAATTTCATATGTTTATAGATTCACTTGATTTTAACCATTTTTTTGAAGTTTAAAATTTTATACAAAGAGATGAAAATAGATCTTCAGAGATAATCCTAAGGATATTTTGCATCAAAATCACATGTTATGATAAAATTTGGAGGTACTCCTTATTTCGATTGTTTAAGATTGCAACCTTATACGAACCACGCCCTGTTTTAAAAAATAACTCTAGCCTCATGATTTCACATTAGAAAACTAGGGATGCTCGTAACCTTCTTGTACAAAAAGTAAATAGTCCGCTAATATAGATCCCTTAGTAAAAATTGAAAGTTAAACAAGTAATTATGGTAAGTTCAGATCGCATGCTAGGTATTTTGGGCACAAAACTGAGATGTTGTGATTCAGCAAAATGGGGGTATTTTGGCTATTACAATTTTTTTGCTGCTAGATGTAACTAAAATTCATGCATATAAATTTATATGGGCAGGCAAAAGGATGAGGCTGCAGGTGAAGTTCCAGTTGCATTCATAGTTCGATCGAACGGCTTCGAGCTCACAGAGGAGGTAGTGAAAGATTTCATAGCAAAGCAGGTGAGATTCCGCATTTTCATTTTCTTAATTTCAGCTCGTAGATTGTGAATACTATTTTTTTTTCTTAGCGAAAAATTCCTATTTTTTTAAAAAATAAATTAGATTCTGTAGGTGATGCCGATTTGTATAATAATTCTTCATAGAACGATTTTTGTAAGGCACCTTGAGCAGGGTAAAAACTATGTTTACTTACATTCGATCAATAAGAAAAATCAATAAAAAGTAACTCATTTCATAAAATATGTTTTGGCTTGAAGTTTAATGGAAAGAATTCAGGAAAAGTTTTAATAACGTTTTACATTTACTGTTTACGTAGCACAACCTATCTCTTTTATCTAGGTTTGGGACAGTTTAAAGGAAAGTTTTAGGTCCTCACCCTTCTTGGACTTAAAGTTTATTCGATCGTAAAAATGCCATACGATATGAGGCCTAACTTCTTCTGTGGGTTCTAAAAAGCCCAATTAGCTTGCTTTCTCATATGCAATGAGGGTTATACAGTTAAGTGCTGAAAAAGATAGATAGATAAAGGCAGATTTTGCTCAATTTTAAAACCTAATATTGCTAGGGATGGTTACTTTTGTCTAGTGCAAACAACTTAAAAAAAATTATCAAAATATTTATAATAGATGAACAAATAAATATTTTACCTATGCCTTTTGATTTGATTACACGGTAACAATAAAAGAACACATGGTCCTGAGTTGGAATAGTTGCAAATGGATAAAATGTTGAATAATTGATTTCTTATAGTATTTTGATCGATTTTCTTTTTACCTAGTGCTGTGGAAACATAGCATTTAGGGGTATTCACCTAACTTAGAACTATACTCCAACAGACTCTGGAAAAAACATCATTCGCCACGCCATTTTTTATACTATGATTTTCTCCGTAGTCCTTGGAGTACAGTTCCTTATGTTTTCCTATTAATCAACATATTCTATGATGCATTACAAGGATGCTTTTATCCCCTAAGAAATGTTATTAATGAGACTATAGTTTTAAGTTACTAAGGTTGATTTCATTTGGGTCTAATAAATATGACATTAAACTTTCTTTTAACCATCCCAAACTTAGGTAAAAGAGGTGGGTTGCATCAAATAAGGAGTCAGCGTAAAACTTTTTCAAATCTTATCATGAATAGCCGACCCCAAATAATTATGATAAGACTTTGATGATGACGAAAGCCGATGATTTCACTTCACATTCATCTTGGATTTGTGTTGTGACCTTAAATGCATGGATCACTCGCCCAGTGCCAAATTGATGCCATTTCGATAACATTTTCTCTATATCTCTCTTGGGGATTTTGTCATTTTGAAAAATCCATGGAGATTTTTGGCATATACTTATTTGTTGTGGATATTTGACGTGCAGGTGGTGTTCTACAAGAGGCTACAGAAGGTTTATTTCATCCATGTAATACCTAAATCCCCCTCCGGCAAGATTCTTAGGAAGGAATTGAAGGCCAAATTGGCGTAATGTTGTTATTTAATTTTTAGTATTTTCTCTGTAATGTCGATTGGCATAGAACATTTGTATTCTTAATGGAATTGTTTCTCATTTGTTCCTGAGAGTGATTGTGATATCAAAGATTGGTCTTCTTTTTTCTATGCTAAAAAAAGGTTGGTCTTCCATTTTTGTCTTCTTCTTTTTGTCTTTTGTGTTTTTTTTTATTTTTTTGGGTAAGTAGAAAATTTGATCTTCTCTTTTGTCTATAAATAGATCATTTATCTTTTGTACGTGGAAGTCACAATCATTTTTCACTCATTAGATGTCAAATTGGATGGCTTGGAGTGAGTCACAAAGTATGTGAATTTTTTTTTTTTTTGAACTTTGTGTCTATTCAATGACACTTTTAAATCCATCCAATTTAAAATTCAAAAGACAATAATGATTGTAACTTTCATGTACAAAAGATAAATAGTCTCTTTATAAACAATCCCTAGTAAATATAACGTACTTTTATTTATGAAAGAAAAAACCTACTCTACAAAGTGATTATATCATGCTTGGATATGACAACTCCCTCATCCATCAATTGTTGATCTGGATGCACTCCACAATTGCTAGTTGTTGACCTCGGATGGCATTGCGAGTCGTGTTTGGATTTAAACATATAGTTTTGTATTTCGACATGTATTAAGAAATCAGAATAAAATCCATGTGGTTGTAACAAAATCATGATCATGAGATTATCACGGTCCCATTAATCCGTTGGACCATGATGGAGGGAGCTACTCCTACCAAAAATCCCATTTAAATCATACTTATTTCTCACTCTCCAACCGACCCAAACTTTGGACAGTGATATATGCAAGTCATGTTGTTGTTCTCATGGCCATATGAATTGTATCATAGGAGGGATTATATTTTGGACAGAGATATATGCAAGTGATGTTGTTCTCATCCCCATGTGAATTGTATTACAGAAGGGATTATATATTGTGAGATTTTTTATCTTTGTTACAAGAATTTCACAATTATTCATAACCATCAGATATCAAATTGGATGGCATGTGTGTCATGAAGTTCGAGAATTTTTGTTTTGTATTTTGAGTCTAATCAATAACACATTCACACCCACCCGATTTGAAACCCAATAGACAATAATGATTATGATCTTTTTGTACTAAAAGTAAATGATTTCTTTATACTTGACATTAATTAAACCGCAAGAATATACAAAGTGTCGAACCATTGAATCCACATGAGAGATTTTAAGATAAATTAATTGAAAACTGCTGCTAAATTAAATCATGGTTTACCAATGATGCAACCCAAACACGACAGATTGTGTGCACATTCTTGACATTGGATATTGGATAGAAACGATCATTTCACAACCGAAGCACGATAAATATAAAAAATAAGAGCAACATATACTTCACAACTTAGTATGAAAAATAAATTTAAGGAAAAGGAGTTTCATGCCCCTAAATCAATTCAAAATTAGGTTGTTAGGCAAGTTTAAATGTATCGTGGAGCAGCAAAGTACCATTAAAGAGCACAAACAATCTTGCAAAATCATTAAAGGTCTCAAAATATCTGATTATCAATCTAAGGTGTACTTTTTAACTTTTATTTCATAAAGGTCCTCAAAAAATTATTTTAAATTCTCAAATTACTCATGTTAGTGTTGAAAACCGTGAATAACTAAGGCATTTTGATAACTTTGCTCCACTAACATGACCCAAGCCAAATTATGAAAAATGGCAAAAACTCTTAGTTATTCATAGTCAGCAATATTGTTTTTCATTTAAATTCTCGTTCTGTTTTTTCCAGCCTTGAACATTCAGTAGTCTTACTGTAAAATATTTCGAGTCACTTAAGTAGAGTCAAATTACCAATATGTTCTTAATTGTTTAGGGTTCCCAATTCCACATAATTGAACAAATTTTTGGGGAGGCAACTTTATGAAATGAGCCAGAAAAAGTAAACCCTGTTGTGGTAACTGGGATCTTTTCAGCCCCTAATGATTTTGTACAATAACTTTGAGGCCTTCTATAACCAGTGTTTAGGAAAACAGTGTTGTGAATCGAAAGGGACGAAACCTACCCAATTCCTCATATTCTTAGTGTTTTCTTTTCTTTCTTTTTTTCCTTTTTCTTTTCTTTAAATGCAATCCTATACGTCAAGTCGAAACGGGATCCCTGGTTTGAACCACGAGAAATCAGAATCGGTGTCCCAATGATTTAAGTTGCCGATCCGTTATAAGACATTAGTTGTAAGTTGTAAACATTCCCTACCATGGAATGGCCAAACAAAACTATTTGTACTTGAATGCAAAGACTGCTGGCTGATCTCTCTCTTTCTCTCCTTTTCGGGAAATTTGGCATACAAAAATTGTGACCATTTATCTTTTTGTACAAGGAGGTCTGAACTATTCCCACTCATTAGATGTCAAATTGGATGGCCTGGGGTGATTCACGAAGTCCGATAACTATTTTTAGAATGATTGTGACATTCTTGTACAAAAGGTAAATTGTCTCTTTGTAGAAGATAATTTTTAATATGGGTGCGGTTTCTATAAGGTTGCAACCTTTAACAATGCAATTAAGGCGCACCTCCAAATTGTATTGTAATTTTGGTGAAAAAGAATATTAGGATTATCTCAAAATCTATTTTCATATCTAATTATAAAATTTTAAACTCAGAAAATGGTTAAAATCAAATAGATCTATAAACATATAATTTTTTTGAAAATGGACGGTCTAGATAATGTAATACAAGATGTACTATTTTTGAGACTCAAAATCTTTTCTTTTGTTTCATATTGATACATCTCGATGTTAAGATGACCAATTAAAAGTTTTTTCAACATAAAAACAAGCTTATCCCATGAATTTTTCTGTAATTCTATATTTAAAAGTTGCATATTGTATGTCGAATGTGAGGAAAGGATCTCTGTCTCTCTTCTCCTTGTATTACAATAAAGGCCCTTCATAAAAAATATACAGGCTTTTGCATGAGATAATTCTTCATCCTTACTAGATATTTTGTCTCTATCTTCTTAAAACCCAGCAAAAGGATGCGGTTTGTACAGAGCCGAGGCTCTAAACAATCAAAGTAAAGCGCACCTTCAAATAGTATTGAGAAATGTGACTTTAACATTGGAAATCATTGAGATAGCTTTGTGATAGCCTTAAAATATATTCTCATCTTTAATTATAAATTTTAAAGATTCAAAAATAGTGTAGATCGATCATATTATGAAAACTTGAAAATTGACGGTTCAAAAATGGTAATTTCATTTGTCATGGGGCTTTCCGGACAAGGATTTGAGATGAAGTTTTATCATGTTTTCATAAAGCCTTGGATTGGTTTTCATGGTTCTTAGGTTTAAGCCAGATCAAATGGGCAAGTTTTTGGCTGGTTTTTTGTGCAAATCGATTGAGACAGTGAGTCTTTCAATTATCTGGCCTCCAAATAAAGAAGTATAACAATATCTGGATGTGATGAAGCGAAATTTGTTTAGGGAAATTGTATAAAACTCCAAAAATCAAAAAATAGATTAAAAGTACCTTAAATCTTGGATTTTTCGCAACAAATTCGTTGCAATACAATCGTCTTCTACATTTTGTGGCATCCGACCACTCATTCTGATGGCGGAAGATAAAGAAATAAGGCCCCCATACCATAGGTACGGATTGGGACCTCTTTTGGAGGGACTATGAGAAGTATTTTGGACGTTGTGGTGCCCAAATTTTGTAAAGAAATTATCAATTCTAGAAATTATAAGGAGTCCAAAAGGACTTCTCTCTTTTAACGTTATTTTGCACGTAGCTTTTATATCACTTCTTATGTCATTTGAAAGAAGAGAAATTTGTTGCTCTAGATCTTATTGTACTTGTGTATTTGTATAAATATGATACTGTTCAATCCTCTATCTCTTTGTACCGCTTAGGCTCTATTTGTCTCTGTTGAGGATCTTTTCTTCCTGTTCTTAGACGAATGAGTTTGTATTGGTTGAGAGAGAGACTGACTCGAAAGAAATTGTTGGGCTTTATGAGAGAGGAGATAAGGGGGTCACGCTAAAGAGAAACTTCTATCATAACTGCTTTTTTTTTTGTTAAGATATGGATATATCGGGTTCAAATTAATATACATAATTAGTTATGATATATATATATATATATATATATATATATATATATATATATATATA